GGAAAATTTAAGACCTAAATTTAACGATGGGTCAGCTAGGTTTACGTAAACCTAGCTGACCCACACATTTTTGCGAATTTCTCGGAAACCAAAGGAACACCTAAATTAATTTTGGAGGCCCTAATTAACGCCTAAAAGACACCTAATTCCTAGCTAATTTTTATTGATTTTTGGCGACATGGGTCAGCTTGGTTTATGGACGTGCGTAAAAGATTTTCCGCCACCATTCTAACCTAACCTAATTACTGTCGAGATGCATTTCATGTAAATAAGGTTTAAAGAAAATTGCTGCCAAAGGCATCTATTCTATTCTGGTAAAGCATTATTTGTCGAAAGAGTTGATAATAACCGTAAAACGCTCATAAAATTATAGAATCATCCGAAATATAATTTTTATAATAACTACATATGTACATATTATATTTTCCCTTCAGAAAACTTTTCACTTAAAAATTTCTTCTTCTTACATATTTAAACATTTGAAAATGACAAATCTCTAAAATTCCCTTCTAAAAATCCGCTTCAAAGAAGTTCTCCATCCTCCTTGTACATAGTAAATATTCTTATGTAATTTTTCATATTTTCTTCGCCTAACTGCTTTTCGCCATTTTAAATGAGTCGTCAGCGTTGCTGTGTGCTGTGCTGTGCCTTAACCGTATTATAATTTTATTTGCATAAACTCACGCTGACAGCTAAGCAAACAGTCTTTTGTGTGTGTGCCAACGGGCAGTGAGTGATAAAATATGTAGAAAAAGTTGAAAGCAAAAAAAAATGTAAATTATGTATAAATTAAAAAAAAAAAAAACTAAGTAATTCCACACAGCGGGCAACAGCAAACACTCGAAAATCCAACCATTGGAGCGCGCCTTGGAATTTACACGCCACCTGAGCCCATAATGGCAGCTCATTTCATTTAATTTTGGCAACGCTCTCTGTTGGTTTTTAAGCAGCCATTTTTTTTCTTGCGCCCACTCCTTTTTTTCGCAGCGACGTTTGCATAACGCGCGCAAAAATGTTGGACGACCGCCCGCCCGACATTTGTCATTTGTGTAAAATTTTTTCGCGTGCCCACTTTTCCCACAAAAAAAAAAATGAAATGTGGTTAGCATTTTTTCATCGTTTTGCAAGTGTATTAGTATATGTAAATCTTAATAAGTATGAAAATGTGTGTAAGCGCGCGAGTGCGCCCGTCTCTTTGCTGAGTACTCGAAATGGGTTTTCAACATTTCGCCTTGCTTGCATACCGCAACTGTCATTCCATTGCGAATTTTTTCGCTGCTAAGTAACCGCGACTGTAATACGATAACGCAAGTAACGAGACTTATTTTTATTTTAAAAAATTATTATTTTTTTCTTGTTGCATTTTCATCGCAACGGTGCTTACTTAGTGGTTATTTGGTGGCGAGCAGCGAAGCGAGCGCTTTAAGAGCAACGAATTCGTCAAATATTCACTTTGTTGTACAATGTTATTTGCGTTTAAACCCCCATACATACATACATATATACATACATACATATATACATACACACAGATTTTAATGTACTTATCTATGCACTTATTGTTTGCTTCTGCTTGTGCACTCAAGTGGGGCAATCTGTGGATACACTGAGACTCGGTCCCCTAAGTAAACTCCTGAAGCTATGTCTTGTTCACTGTGTGATAAATTGTTGTTACATAAAAATGTTCGCATTTTGTATACATTAACCGATGCTTTAGAGTCTTAATAAGATGACTAAGCGATATTTCACTCGGAGGGATTGTTATGCTTTTGAAGTAACTTATTTAGGTAAAATACTATTTTTTTCTTGCATTTAATACGAAACTGTTGATTATAGCAGATTATATTTGAAATTGAAGCATTGATGGACTTGCTTTTAAGTGTCATATAACACTTTACGGCAAAATCAACATTTTTTCTGGGTATTGGACCAAAGCAATTTTTTTTAAAGAGATTGAGTCATAGGTAAAAAAGTAATCTCCCCGGTTTTCGAAGTTAGCCTCCGAAATGAAGATATGGGCCTTCGAAGTTCGAAATAGGACCTTTGGTAAAAAAGTTGTATTTAATTGCATATAAATATCTAAAAACCTAAATATATAGACGTAGTCCTCCTTTTGCTCTTATTTAAATGGTATATACATTTTTTTGTGCAAACTTATATTACAGGTGCTATAAGGGGTCAAAGTTCAGGTCTTCGAAAAATTAAATTCCTTATATTGCAAACAATTTTGAACTGATTTTTAAAAAAATTTCTCCCGATATGCATATGTGTATACTTCGTATATAAAAATTTTTTAAAATACATTTAAATGAAAAAATACCTTTTTTTATAAAAAAAACTATTTGAAACAAACAAATTACTAACCGATTTTTAAAAAATTGGTATCGTTGTAAAGACAGTTATGACTTCATATCAAATTTCAAATTCATGCGACGTATGGTTCCGAAATTCGGATCGCTGCTGGTGGTAAGAGTATACGGTAAAAAAAAAAAAAATTGGTTGCCAATCTAATTGAGAAGGTTAACAGTTTTCGTTAGAAAAACTTATTGTTTCGTGTATAATATATTTATTTTTCATACATGTACATATTTCATGGAAATTATCATTTAATCAGATTTCGAAAAAATTTTATTTCCGCAGTGAAAACACGGCCATTCCTTTTGAATTTCGTGAAATGAAGTCGTTCATGGATAATAATGCAATATTGCTATAGGGAAAATTTTAGTGAAAATCGGCAGGAAAAACAAAAAAAAACTGGGCGGAATCAAATTACCTCTATTTAATTAAAATGAGTTTTGTAATTAAAAAATAAACAAATTACGCAAAAAAATAAACATTTTAAGACTTTTACTATTTTCAAACTCGAAACGCTCTAGCTCCAACTCAAGCTGTTGCAGTTTAATTTGGTCTTACATTTTTTTAATTAATTAAATAATAATTTCATAAATTTTTAGTTTAAAATGTTCCTTTGATTTTACATTTATATTTTTGTTTCTTGTTTTGTTCTGTTTCTATTCCATTGGCTTTTACTTGATTGGAATATTTCCGATAAAAAATTTCCGATACTCGGAATGCAGATCATCAAATTTCCGAAGAATTCCGATTCGAAGTTGATCGAATTGTAGAACAAGGCGGAATCGGAAATAATTTCCGATTGTCAGAATGCAGAACACCAACATTCGGAAACAAATCCGATTCCGATTCGAATCGGATTGCAGAACAGGGCTGATTGAATTCGAATAGCTACGAATGTAGCGTATACTTTGAATAAGGCCCCTATTGCGAGTGTCGACTGGCAGTAGAATAGAAATTTGTCGATCGAGTCGATCATCTTTTATTTTGCTATTGTGTAACTTGATCGATACAAATTTGTACTATTGTGAATGGTTGACAGAATTGTAAACATCTGTTTGTTTGTTTACATTTGTTTCTTGAGTGTTTTATTTACATCATTTTTAAAATAATTGCTTTTATTATAAAATTAAAAAAATGGACACATTTGAAATATGGTTTAGTGAAGAGGAAGATGATGCGGAATCTAATAGATTAGTAGAGTTGGCTAAAGCAAGGAGGGAATTGCAAGATTCGTCGGATCCCTTGGACTTGGAAGGTGTATATACATGTGTGAGTTTTATGAATAGAAGTTGCGTTCCCGATGCTTCACAGTTTTTAGGCTTTACATGATTTGCAGGAAAAGCTGTTTTCCTCATTAATAAACTTTATGGAAGTTTAAGAAAGTACGGTTAAGTTTTTTGTACAATGATGTTGGGTTTTTGTGTCCAAACGCGTGACCCGAGTTTAAAAACTTTAACATAACAACATAACAAGTGTATTGAAAGAATTCAACTTTAATTTAAAATAAAGATTTCAAATTTCCGAGCACTAGTCAATTAATAAATTATGCAGTTTTTTTGTATAAACTTTTGATGTTGGCTCTGCGCAAAAACACTGTGGATGGCGTAACCGGAGTTATATGCACAAGAAATATTGTATATGTATCTTTTCCAATAGAAGCGGAGCTTCCTACCCTACTCTTTCCGGAAATTCCTTTGCCCATGTCTTCACTCTCCTGCATCAGTACGAACAACCGCGCAAGTTGCCTTTTGTTGATTATAATTTTTGATCTGTAATTCAGACACATACATGCATATGTATATTTCACAATTTTTTACAACTTCCAGTTCAATTGACTTACTTTTTATCCATTATAGTACCACTTTCTTATGTAAATTTTATAAACGCAAACTCCAACGACTAAAAAACAGCAATAGAAGGATGAGCGATTAAAAAGTATTCACAGTCGCTAATTGAGCGACTAAGCGACACTCGCAATAGCATCGATAATCGATAATCGCTTAATAGTCGTTTATCTACTGCCAATCGACATTCGCAATAGGGGTGTAAGGGTGTGTTCAGAAATGCATCAAGCCAAAGCATCAGACGCATTTATGGGCTTAGACGAGTTTCAATCACAACCGCAAAGTTGCGCGAATTATTAAAGGATCAAGTTCGGTTTAGATTTTTGGCAACGTTTTATCAACTGGGAAGTTGCAAAAGTCATGCAAGTTTTCATCGGTGCTGCAGTATTGCCGCTTTTATTACGTGCCTCGAACAGGCCCTTGTAGTTGCGTAAATAAGGCATTTCCATCAGTTATAGTTTAGAAGTAAAAGAGGCTGATGCTTTGGCCTGATGCATTTCTGAACGCACCCTAATCTACCGGGGATTCATTTACCCGCTGAATGTCCATTCGAACCGTTGCCTACAATGGCCGAATACTTCAAAGAAATATGCAGCAGACCACACCAAAACACAAAAAGAAATCGAAGAATAAGACATTCAAGTAAAATACAAGTTTTCTTTTTTAAACAAATAACTTATTAATGTTATATTTTGCAGTCTTTCTTTTTTACATTATATTTCCTCTTAGAGACTAGTTAACTCTTTACTAATTGCTTCCTATGAATTACACATTAAAGTACAGAGATCTATTCCTATTTACATTTGCTAACTGCTACACATTAATCTACTTCCTCAACAGTGGGACCACTGCGTCCACCATTGAAGCCGCCTGCCTGTTGACCACAGGAAGCTCCTTGTCCACCGCTATGCAACTGCGTCATTACTGGTGTGCAAAGCTGTGTTAGTGTCTTCATTTTGTCTTCGTACTCTTCCTTGTCGGCCAACGTATTCGCATCCAGCTCTCTCTCTGATAGGTCGAAAGTGCCCAAGCGGTTGTTGTCCTTGGTCATCACGCGCTCACCTTCATACACCTGTATGGTGACGCCAGGTTGGTTGTCCGAGTAGGTGGAGAATGTTTGCGTTTGCTTGCAGGGAATTCGGCAATTGCGTTCAATGATTTTCGCCATAACGCCGCCAGCCGTTTCGATACCCAATGACAGTGGCGCCACATCGACTAGGAGAACATCCTGAATTTCACTGCTCTTGTCTCCACTAAGAATAGCTGCCTGGACAGCAGCACCATATGCCACCGCCTCGTCCGGATTGATCGAAAGGTTCAAGCTCTTGCCACAGAAGAACGACTGCAGTAGACTTTGTACCTTTGGAATGCGTGTGGAGCCACCAACCAAAACGATGTCGTGAATCTGGTTCTTGTCCATCTTCGCATCATTCAGCGCCTTCTCCACTGGCTCCAGTGTCTGACGGAACAAATCGGCACACAATTCTTCAAAGCGTGCTCTTGACACTTTCGTGTAGTAGTCGATTCCTTCGAAGAGCGCATCGATCTCAATGCTGGCCTCTGTGCTCGATGACAAGGTACGTTTCGCTCGCTCAGCTGCTGTACGTAGACGACGCAACGCTCTGGGGTTTGAACGTAGGTCTTTCTTGTATTTGCGCTTAAACTCGTCCGCCAGGAGATTCACCAGTCGGTTGTCGAAATCTTCGCCGCCAAGATGTGTGTCGCCAGCAGTGGCGCGCACTTCGAACAGTGAACCCTCGTCAATGGTCAGAATGGATACATCGAAGGTACCGCCGCCCAAATCGAAAATCAGCACATTGCGTTCACCTTTCAGATTCTTGTCCAGACCATAGGCCAATGCGGCTGCAGTGGGTTCGTTGATGATTCTCAGCACATTCAAACCAGCAATCCGACCGGCATCCTTCGTTGCTTGCCTCTGTGAATCATTGAAATATGCGGGAACTGTGATGACTGCATCTGTGACAGTTGTGCCCAGATATGCCTCGGCTGTCTCCTTCATCTTGGTGAGCACCATGGAACTGATTTCTTCTGGCGCAAAACGTTTGTTCTCCCCTTTATATTCGACGCAAATTTTCGGCTTGCCTCCATCGCTTACCACTTTGAATGGCCAGTGTTTGATGTCTTCCATGATCTTGGGGTCGTCATACTTGCGTCCAATCAATCGCTTGGCATCGAATACTGTGTTCTTTGGATTCATGGCAACCTGGTTCTTTGCTGCATCGCCGATGAGGCGCTCGGAGTCGGTGAACGCCACATAGCTGGGTGTTGTGCGGTTGCCCTGGTCATTGGCGATGATCTCCACTTTGCCATGCTGAAAGACTCCCACACAGGAGTATGTTGTTCCCAAATCAATACCAATTGCTACCATTTTGACTTTTGTTTTGCTTATTCTTATACTTGTTAAAACTCTTTAATACTTTTGAAAAATCTGCACCCAAAAATTGTTTTCATTCGGACACTTACTTTCAAAGAAAAATGAAGGTTACCAAAACACTGCCAAAATTTTCAATCGTTGATTAAAAAAAAAAATATTTGGAATTTTGCAGCAAAAATTACACAGTGTACTGTTCTACTACAAACCTCGGCGCTGCCTTAATATCATTGAAAAATATGAATGTTGGTAAACTCGGTGCCCACTTGAAGAAGCCTTACCCATTAATAACGATTAACTGTGCTTGAAGCAGTGGCTGCCCATTTAGATGCTCTCAGCCTTAAAATTCACTTATCTGCAGAGCACTTCAAATTTATTTTTATAGTTGAAAAGACCAAAAGTATCTGTGACGCGGTCTAGAGCCCCCTGGATTGAAAGCTTACTTTGAGAGAAGTTTGGAGTCAAAGAAATTTTCGTTTTTGATGAGTCCTAAAAATAGCCAGAATCGAAATTTCTTCAAGGTGCGATATATGTATGTATCTTTATATTTTTGAGTACTAGGCATTTTTCAACGAATTTTTCAACCGTTGATTTTTGGCAATTTCTTTTTGTGGAAGGCGTTGCTCATTTTAGGCACACAAAAAAAAAAAATTAAATTGTCTAACATACTTTTTATGGAAGAAACTGCGTGAGTGAAAAATTGCCAAAACCAAAGGTAATTTCTAACTACTTTAAGCGTGCACTTTATTGCGCTAAAATTTGATGGGCCACAAAATTGCATATGCCAAAAAATTCTAAAAAATCTGATTAAAAAGTTTCAAATTTTGATGAAAATTTGTTAAAATTCTTCGATTTTTTATAAATTTTCTACAAAGCTCGAAATGTAGCTTTACAGCTTCGCTTTTAGACAGTAAGCTATATTTCCATAAAAAAAAATAAAAAAAGACATTTCCTAAATACTGAAAAATAAGCCAAAAAATGCTAAAATGTATCTTTCCTATTTACATTTTCGCCACCACACCTGAAATATAAACAAAAATTTAAATAAAAGAACTAAAGTTAAAACAAAAAACTAAATTTGTGCAACTTTCTTTCTATGTAAATTTGTTTGCATTTGTTAAAGTGCACATGAAATTAATTCGCTAACAGTAAGCTACGCATTATTGTGACAGCTGAGTTCAAAATTTGCTTGCTTAGAACAATTGTAAGATAAGGAAGTTTAATTGCAACTCAATTGTTCTAGCCCTCTTCAGGTAGCGGTATTTTACAGCAAAGACAAAAATTAGGTACTTTTTTGGCATATATCTATGTATATTATAATCTTTGTAATATATTGACTTCACGTCTTACTAATATTATATTGATCGCCGTTGTATTTGGTTCAAAGTCCTATTCAAATACTATTTCGCTCATTTTAGAGCATGTCAATAAAATATTTGAAGTAAATTTCAATTTGAGAAATCTTGCATACATACCTACCTAACAGTGCAGAGAAAAATTCCGTTTCTATGTGTTCTACTTTTCCATCACCATGTCAATTTCGTTATTCATTCTTTGCTATTTCTCGAAATATTTGTGCTGTATTTCTTGATAAAATAAATACCTTACATGCGCCAATGCATCAGGGCAACAGCGACAAATTTTGCAATAATAGTCCTTTATAGTTGCCTGTCGGGTATGCACTCTCTTTTTTACACTAAATTTCTTACTCTTTATGTCCTTATTTTGCATGTCATTTATGCTGTGTAATGCACAATTTTCTTTTCCATTCAATTTACTTTTGACACTGGAATATTTTACTTACGAGTAAGTAGCTAAAAGAAAATATCGAGCATGGAATACAACAAAAGAATTACATATTGGCAGCTGTGATAAATGTATAAAGTATAATTTGACATGCATTCGCCTGGTAAGCATGAATGCATTTCTCCATAAAACGATAGATAGCGAGCAGGCAAAATACATATGTACGTACATAAATATATACAAATTCACAAGTAAACTACTGAATGTACTATAAGCACTTATTTTGGAATACAATTCACGGAAAAGAGAGCGAAGTAAAGCAAAGAAAAAAAAAATATTGTGAATGGTTAGCAATAGTTAAGTATGCGAGCTTTTGAACATTTATTGCATAAAACAGAATTGTATTTGTCTTTTAAGTTTTTTAGTTAACTAATTCTAGTAAATGGTGTCCTTGTATCTAGCAGGTGTATATGGGAAAAGTTTGGAATTTATTGACATAATTTACTTTAAATGCTACCAGACTATAATTAACAGCTTATAATAATAATTAATCTAGTTATTACAATAAGTTTCATATACTGTTTAGGCTTCGAGATTATAACTTATAAACAGCGAACAGATTTTTAGGGCCTAAAAACCTATAAAAAGGCAAACAATTAGCGAAAGAGGCAGAAGAATCGGAAAAAGGCAAAAAAGACATTTGTTGTAGAAATTTCTATTTCACAAGAAAAACGAAAATAAAAGTTTAAACTAAATAGTTCTGTAATACAAGTAAAAGATTGATTATTTTCTCCGCTCGAATTTCAACTCTTAAAACCTTATGCTATATAGTTTCATCGTAGTTTAATTGAACTACAAGATGCATCTCGAAGTTTTCGGGCAGCATTTTCTAAGCAGGCACAAGTTGTGCAATGGGCACAATAAATAAAAATATGTATGGGCCAATCCCTGTCAAACCGACTAATGATGGAGTCGAACATTTTTGATTTAGATGAATTTTGATCAGATCATATAACAAAGTTCTGCCAAAGGATGTTTTTTTTTTCAGCGACCAAATTTATAAATTGAAAATGTTGCCCGAATTTTTAAATTTAACGAAAACGTTGTTTCACAGTTATTAGATGAAAATTATTTTTTATCTTGCCGATAAAAGTTATAACCCAAGGTTTATTTTTTACGTGTTATTATCCAATATTTATATATAACGTCAGCGACTTCTACTTTTAAAAGTCATCTATATAAATAAGTCACCGACTTTTATGTTTTAAATCATTCGTATAAAATTATTCGTAGTTAAGAAGGTGTTAGGAAACAAAAGTTTACTACGACTTATACAAATGACTTTTATAAGTATGATTTAAAAAATAAAGGTCAGTGATTGATTTTTATTTATTACATTAAAAATAAAAGTCTTCGATAACTGTTTAAGACATATAATTAAAAAATGAAAAAATAAATTATTTGCAGATTATTTAGACAAAAAACAAAAATAATTGTTATTTTGGATTTATACAATAAAAGTCAGAAATAACGGTTATTTAAGGAGTAACTAAATAAAAGTCAAAAAATAATTGTTAAAGAGCGATTTTTTTAATAAAAGTTATAACTGTTACGGTCCCTGATGTGTATTGCAATATTAAATATTACCAAATGTCTTAAGTTCATCTTGCATAGTACTCTGAGACGACTTCACTTAAATTATTCGGTTTATGGTATTCAACGCGCAATGATAGTCCTGCAGCATTTGACACCATTATTGCTTGTAATTATTTCAACTTTCAGATTTTTTTAGTATATTCAATCACAAATACTAGCATGTGGTAGTATGTTTTATACAGTACTTACATACTTATCTACTAAAGAAATCTGGGTAATGTGATTCTTATGGTCACGTATTAACATCAAGCATTTATATACAACATGGTGTGTGTGTGTGTGTGTGTAACCATACTCATATTATGTATAAAGATGATACGAGTATTATTTATTGTTGCACTTGTCAAAACAATACGTCAACTTTGGACAATGACTGCTTTGGGAGTCGAGGATTTGTGGCAGAAACAGACAAATGAAATACGAGATAAGTACGTGACTACAACATGCGTTGCACTCATTCGAGTACGTAATTATATTGGGGGGTAACTGCTGAGCCAGCTTCATAAGAATGAGGACATACATATATAGAGCTACATTAAAGTGATCCTTGAAAAATACACTAAGTTATGGATTGGCTATCCAAGGCAAGTTGGCGACAGTAAGGATACCTGTTTGTATCATGCAGCTGTTGTATATCTTCAATCAGTTTCTATAATAAGAAATTAATAAATACAAAGTTCTTTTATTTAATAGCTTCAAACATGAAGAAAGGGTCGGTCGGGTAGTCTACCACCATGAAATACCTCTTTGGATCTCAAACAAATGCATAGGTCATCTAGGCAAGAGCACAACGCACATTGTTTCGACTATATGGAGGCAGGTGGAAAAAATGATGTTGGGGTCAGAGAGGGAAATGCAAAATTGCATATCATCTCTAATAGCAGTCTTAAGTCCAGTGCGCTATTGGCATTCACTTTATTTGCAGCTTATCTGGTCATTAGAAGATGTTTGGTAGCTGCCTTATGTTTTTGCTTTGGCCAGCTCCACACTTCCTTTGGTACAGAGAAAAACAAAAACCTGTTTTAATATGCTTCGGCGGTCCGGAAACTTAATTGAAATCGTCTGTAAATATGCTGAGGGTCTTCCGGCTGTTGGGTTTTATGCCGCTACCGCATCTATTTTATTTGATAGTGTTCCAGTACCCTGTTTCCCAGTTAAAGTACATAGCCGTTTCGGCTACTTTGTACTGCGCTGTGTACACATGTATGTATGGGGTAAAATTCGCCAAGTGTACCAGGAAAAAAATTGTATGGCAGCATTTTGTTCAAACTCCACCATATTGTTGCTGGGGTTACTGGTAACCACCGCTGTTTTTTGTCGAGTTATACGAGTTTAACTTAGCAAATTTCAACCCTTTTTCGTAGAGTCTCAAGTTTTCTTAAAATTGTTTTCTGTTATGATAGACCATGAAAAATTGCTAACCGTATATAAGTTCTTCACATTAATTCGACTGTCGTGAGTAGGCTTCTTGCGGATTTGACTGCAAAGTCGTACACAGTAATATCGATTAGCTGTATGCTATGTACGTTGTCTATTTAGCAAAGTCATCAGCGTCGTTTTCAGCGCAAGTACGGCGAGACGCCGGCAGATTTAGACTCATACATAGATAATGCAAAGTCCCACACTGAGTGTCTGCATTAGATGGCCTAGCATTAT